CGTAAGAGTTTTACGGCACTTGCAACACAATAAGGTCATGTAAGTGTCGAAGATTAGAGGTGCTACATTAAGGGAGCAACAAACACAAAAAAGAAGGAGGGGAGATAAAGACGATTGATGTTTGATAGGAAAGAAGAAGCAAACCACACCAGAACACACGCCAACCACCCACAGTAACAGGAATAAAACATACCGGTAATGACAAACGATAACAAAGACAACAACAAAAGAGACGACAATTATAAGATAGGGGGAAAAACCCCCCAACAATAATGACAACAATTGAAGGAAAACAATCAAACTATTTTAGTTTTTAGCTTAGTTTTATTAAGAGTTTTACAGCAGTTGCAACACAGTTAGGTCATAAAAAAAACACCAAAGATAAGAGGTGCTAACAAGAGAATAACAAACACAAAAAAGAAGAAGGAGGAGAGATCAGGATGATAGATAAGAATGTTCGATAGAAAAGAAGGAGCAAACGTGCATACCACTTGAAATATTAAGATCAGATGAAACAGTAACAAAGCCCACAAGTCAACGACATGAACAGGAACCACAACAACAAGACAGCAAAAACAGTAACAACAACAACAATAATGACAAAAGAGACCAAAACAGTGAGTAAGACAGAAAAAAACAGTACAAACGACAACAACAGGGACTACATGTACAACAATAATAAATAGATAAAAAAACAAAAACAATAACAAATATGGACCACACAAAGATAGAGATAGAAAAAAAGGTACAAACGACAATAACAGGAACTACAATAATAAAATTTAGTTTTAGGACGTGTTTTACGGTACTTGCAACACAATAAGGTCATATAAGTGCCGAAGATTAGAAGTGTTACAAGGGAGTAAGAAACACAAAAAAGAAGGAGGGGAGAAAAAGACAATAGATGTTTGATAGGAGAGATATATTAAAATTGATTTTTAAAAAAGCAAACAACAACAAGTAAGGACCATACAAAGATAGAATAAACAATAATAATAGCAAATAACTACATGTATGTACAAAAAACAGCTACCATAATAATGACATGATGATACAGATAAACAATCAAAAAAACAATCACAACAACAGTCACACCTCTAGTTTTAGTTTTAGTAGAGGTTTTACGGCGCTCGCAACTGCATAAGGTCATATGAGCGCCAGAAGATTAGAGGTGTTACAAGAGAGTAACAAACATAAAAGAGAAGAAGGGGAGATAAGGACGAAAGATGTTTGATAGGAAAGAAGGAGCAATCCACACCAGAGCAACCGCCAACCACCCACTCACACCTCTAACTTGACCAATGCATGATGTAAGTACATATAATATGTATCATAAACTAAATCCCCATCCTTGTGAATAACATTGTTAAGACAAAGACTTAAAATTCAGTAAAAATTAGAAGAAACATTTAAAAATTAATTGTAGGTGCTTTAGGCCACCGTTGTTACAAGGTAGTTCATTTGATATATTACAAATATATATATATATATATATATATATATATAAAACACACCCATGTGTATTATATACCAACATAGTAAAATGGACAGAAACAAGAGAAACCACCAGGTTTTGCCAAAGTACAAGATTTAAAGAAACGCCTCTATACAAACATAATACTTGCGTCTTAACACAGCCATCTGTCTGAATTACTTCGATCTGCCCTGTATTGGTCTCTAGAGGTGGCCTACACACTACATACTGCACTGACTCGGTGGCTGCTTGACAATTCCGTTCCCACACACATCTCAGCAAACTCACCTATATATCTATCTATATATACATGTATATATATATATATATGTATTAATATTTATATATATACATTGTATATATTACAGTAATAATATATATATATATACCAGAGTCTGGAGTCATGGTGAGGTGCTTCACTGTCACATACAGGAGAAATGAGCTCGATAGGGAAGCAGGGAGAGAGAAAATTTGTATCGTGTATCTTGGCCTTTCTGCTTAAAAAGGAAGTTGATGTATCCCTTTCAGCACCGGTTCGCCCCGACATGCAGAAAGCAGGGTCGGTATAGCCTGTCTCCTAAATGATCCAAATTGCATCGATGGGGGAGTAAAATACATCTACATTAAGAAAAAAAACAAATTTATCAATATAGATTGTACGTATTTTTATATATATATATATATATACAAAGAGAGAGAGA